CCCGAGCGAATACATATTTATTCTTGGAAGCCAATATGAAATTGTTTGATTTTTTTGAGCTGGCTGCTCACAGCATTTCTGTTTGATTTACTGAATCCAAAGGTCACAACAGGAGAGCATTATCTGCCTCATTTATGCGTGTGTTTCTTTGATTTCCGACTTCTCTGTTATCAACCGAGGTGGCAAAATAAAATTCCAGGGCATAATGTAAAGCAGTATAAGCAAAGTTGTATATTAATGTCAGTCTGAATAACCTGAAAATATTTATTTTTTCATCCACTCATTTTATTGTTAAAGGTTGATTTGCTTATTAAAATGTTTCTGAGCCTTTCCCCGACGAGTGAGCAGAGAAGATCGAGCAGATAAAAATGTTTATATACTCAGCAGAATCATCTTCAGCTATTACGCACTCTTGAAGCAATTAGCGCAATGAGCTTATTTGGCCTCGATTTCCCCCCTTTCAAGCTAAATACAGGTTATCCTACCTTGTCAGCTCTTGGGAAGAAATACCTGCAGACTCTAAAATTCATCATGCCGATATAATCTTTTTTTTTGGTCAGGCCACTTGTAACACTAGCCCATGAATCACTCAAACATAAAAAGGACATCCTACTCATAGACTGACCGGTGTTGTGTCTGCACATGACAGATAACTTAGCAAATAGACAGTTTTAAATAACAGTATATTTAGGCACTTAGTCACTGGCAGGCTGTTGCAAACACATCATTTGCTCCTCGAGTCTGACAGGCATAATACTGTGTTTCTCACCAAAAAGGTGATTCCCAAAGAGCTATTGGCCAGAATGTTGGTATGTCTTGGCACAGTGTGCATTGTGACCAGTGATGGGAATAACGGCATTACAAGTAACGGCGTTACTAACAGCGTTACTTTTTTCAGTAACGAGTAATCTAACTAATTACTATTCCTATCGTTGCAACGCCGTTACCATTACTAACAAGAAAATGTGGTGCGGTCACGTTACTTTTTTTCAACTAACAGACGGTTGAAGCTGTGTTCAGCTTACAGTATCTTATATCAGTCGCACGGAAGTAGCTGTAAGTAGGGATGGGTACCGGTATGACGCCGGATAGTAACCAGAACGAAAAGTAGTACACATTTCGGTGCTTTGGTTCATACACTTTTGATTCTAGCCGATCATTTTACCTTTACAAGGATAGTAGGCGGGCCCAGGTACGTAAGTTCTTTTAGAGCAGAGCTTCAGATTAAAAATGCTCCATGCGCACGGCAGAAAAGGGTCATTACCATGTAAATGTGTGGTTAATTCTTCGAAAATGTATATTTAAAAAAAAAAAAACAACAACATTTTTTGGCATCTTAATAAAATAAATTAATTTCTGCTCTTAAATACCTAAAAAGTTCAACTGGCATGGTGTCCAATTGTCTGTCAAAATTGGACATTTTTGTACAACGTCTGGATATTCGTGTATTGGCAGGGCTGTAATTTTTCACTGTTTCACTTTACAAACATAAATCTTTGCACAGTTGATGTTTATATGTTGGTTACTAAATTTCTGTAATGAAATGGGAACTGAGGCATATTTTTAAAAGGGTTATTTGCTAAAATTTAAAAAAAATAGGCGAAGATAAAATCTACTTACTTTTTCTGGGTTTCTGTGTTCTCAGTAACTCTGACACAGTAATATCTGCTTCAATATTTACACCTCTGATAAAATTTCACAAGTGTTAGCTTTATTTGAGTTTGTAATTGCAGAGAAATAATCAATTAAGCTAAGAAACCCCTTTGGGGCTTAAGAGGTTATGGTGATACTGTGCAAAAGAGGTAACACCTCAAATCTGATGAAACACCTGGCGACGTATAGTGTTTTTTTAAAAGCCGAGAAATGCACTGTATTTGATAGCTTGCTGCAAGACCTCACACCGAGCACATCTACTGCCGGCGTGGTAAATCTCCATTAGTGAGTTAGCACGGATCGCCCCGTGCGGGTGGCTGGACGGTTCTTATCAGTTTGCAGAAAAAAGGAGACTGCTAAAAATAAAAACATAAGAGGTTTTTGGACAAAGTTTGTGTTCTCCATTCTTTAAGCACTGTTTCAAAAGTACCGGTTTGGCACCGGTATCGGATAAAACCTAAACGATACCCATCCCTAGCTGTAAGTAATCTGGACGCTACAGCTTTAAGCAGCTACGCGCGCTCCGGCGGACGACAATCACGATCACTTTTTGGCACAACACCTGGAGCTAAGGGGGCAAAACAATGGCATGAGTGCTGCTGTTTGATTGAGGAAGATTAAACTAGTCGAGGTAAGCCAATCACATGACCACTTCAAGATGACAAAGCAACAAGGTGATATATACCAGTTTTTAAATTGTGTTGATAGGCCACGTAAAACCATGACATAGATGATAAACAATATATATGCGCCGTTTTTTCCTCAATAGTTTCGTCTCATCTAACATCTAAGGACAGAGCTAGCAAGCACTCTCTGCTTATGAGCAAAAAAACGCTCTTTCCTGTTGGTGGAAAAATGCACCATGTCGACCAATCAAAAATGATATGGCAACATGACATTTGGTTGTTTAGGAAGCGGTGGAAGTTTTAGGAGTGACAGCAAGAGAGAGCGAGTTTGTACATATTGAATGCAGAACACCTGATTGTTGTAGAAATAGTTTGAAATGGTTATAAAAATAGAAGGTAAAAGGTAAATAGCTGCAAATAACTTTGTAGTTTGAGAAACTTGTGCATATGATTTTAAAATTGACCATTTATATTTGCATTTAAAGTTGTGAAATATGATTCAATAAACATGTTTGTGATTGTTAAAAAATATAACTTTTTCTACTCTGATTTTATGTTTTTGTCTGATTTTAGATCAGTTGTGTTAACACAGTATGTCAAAATGAAAACATAACTGTAAATTCAGACACGTGAGGTTGTGCTGAAAAGGATGATACCAAACGAGCCAAAGTAAATAGTTTTTAAAGGTGAAATGTGGAGGAAACATCAAAAGTGGTTAAAAATGGCCAATTATACCCTGGAGCCCAGAGGGTTAAATGTTTTTTTAAAGTAACGAAATAGTTACTTTTCAAGTAATTAATTACTTTTAGAATCTTGTAACTCAGTTACTAACTCAGTTACTTTTTTGAAGAAATAACTAGTAACTATAATTAATTACTTTTTCAAAGTAACTTTCCCAACACTGATTGTGACTTGTAAAGATTTGGGGAAACTGGACAAGAGAAAGAACAAGATGTGGCAAGTGAATAGTATCTATAGTATCCTGACACAGGACCTGAGAGATGCATTTGGCCCTTCACCTATATATGTTTGCTGAAGCCTCATGAGAAACGTTCTCAGTGGCTGTCAAGAAGCCATTTTTAAGCAACAGAAATTGGGGAAAAGGCTGAGGTTCATCAAAATTAGCAGTGACAGGAGGGAGGAATCCAAATTTTAAATTGTTGTATGTATATGTATGTATGTACTTTATTGATCCACATGGGGAAATTCCTCTCTGCATTTAACCCATTCACTCAGTGAAGCAATGGGCAGCCACCAATCCAGCGCCCGGGGAGCAGTGTGTAGGGACGGTACCTTGCTCAGGGGTACCTCAAGGTAGCTGTTCAGTGGATTCAAACCCCGACCTTCTGATCATGGGGGCACCACTCTACCTTCTGCGCTATCCCTGCCCTGTTGGTTCAAACAGAGGAAGCCAGAAGAGAGACAGAGAACAGTGAGTGCCTACAGCCATGTGTACAACATGGTGGAGGCTCTGTCATGGATTGGAGCCATATTTCAGCCAGCGGTGTTGGACACCTTGTCTTGAATAGTCCTTGAATATTTCTTGATCTTGAAAACTTTGATTGGCAATGATGGCAATGATCCCAAACACACCACCAATGCAGTAAACACACAAAAAGTCCAGAGCCCTGTCCTGAACATTACTGAAGCAGTGTGGGACAGAAAATGGGACAAAAAGATGTCTAAAAAAACTTTGAATGTTCTTCAAGAAACCTAGAGAGCTATTCCTGAAGACTATTTAAGGAATAGTCTTGCCTAAGAGAGTTCAGCTTGTGTGAAATAATAAAGGGTCTCATACCAAATATTGACTTTGAGCCTTATGAGAATTGAACAAACTCTGTTTTTGCCTTATATATTGTATTTCAGTGTACTATGCCTGCACTTATGCCAATAATTCATGCATCTAGTTCCCATTTTCCTGGTGAAATAAAAATAAAATGGGGGTCAGTTTAAGGCATCTGCACAGTACTACATATGATTTTATATGACATATTAAATATATATGTTTTTCTTTTTTTTTAATGTAATAATTACCCCAATCACAGTCCCCAAAAGAAGCCCCACCTTTATTGACCACAGAGAGCTCCTGTATCAAAGGAAAATGTAGTTCACAAAAGTAAGTCACCAGCTGTTTCGCTCTTACAACAAGGCCATCGTTCCTCTGTGCAGCTGTTGTTTTAGTCATGTTTTTGTCTCGCTCTCTAATCAGACTGCCAGCCTAATGCCTTTTTCAAGGCGAGATTCTTGTATATCACCATATTATTGCATTTCAGAAATGGCTTATAGCATGTTGATATAATCGCCGCATGTTGTAGAGCGATAAGGGTGCAGGTAAAGATCCCTCTCTACAGCGCTGCTCCCCTCGCCCTATCGCCGTCCCGCCCGGCCCCGGTGGCCTGTTGTGTGTCCAATTAATATGTGCATTTAAGCTATTGTGCTGTCAATACTGTGCTGACCCTACAGCAAATCTGTTCTGCTTCAGCTAAGATAATTGTTATCTTTTGAAGCGTGCAAATAGATTTTTGAAATAGATTCTAAAGCCTTCATTCAAAAAGAATTAAATGGAGAAAGATGAAAGAGAGAAAGTTCAAATGGTTTGAGAAATGAAATCTTATCACAGCCAGAGCTGGTCCCTTTGATTCCTGACATCATTGTTCATTCAGTTAATTACTAAAGAAGTCATAAAGAAGTGGGCTATTTCAGTTTCGTCTCTCTCCTCAGACGGACCATCATGGAGGATGGAACTCTTCGCATCACCAATATCTCCAAATCGGATGGAGGCAGGTACACATGTGTGGCCAGAAACCGTTTTGGTACTTCCAGCAGCACAGGGACACTGGTGGTAAAAGGTATTCTTTTCCATTTTTTCTTTTTTTAGTGTACCTTCTAAGCCGAGGGTTTAAACTTTTGTTAGAGGGAAAAAAATAGTAGCTCAAGCATGAAATGGATAATGAAATATATAGCCGTTTTATGTTCCTGCCGCTCTGACAGACATATAAGTCATCCGAGGTTTTGTCAGCTCTGAGTTATTGTTCATGTAGCAGAGTGGGGCAAACCACTGACGTCTATAGCTGTGAGTGAAGAATATTTTCATTTAATTTAAAAAGAGCTCCTGTAGCATTTTCAGATTTGGGGTTGTTAAATGATGATTATTATGGAGAACGAGAGTGAGAGAGTCATTTTATTTCTTTCTAGTTGACACTGTGATTGCAGCGTCTTTAATTATTCATTACTGAGTTATAGGCGGCTTTTGCTTTTTAAGTGAAGTTATTTAAGGTCGCTTAATTACACCGCTAGACCAAAATCTGTCTCGTGATTCTGGGCAAAATAAGCTTCATTACCTTATTCATTTGGCTGATAGCGACACCGTGCTGCATATAGTAACAAGTCAATGTGTTTTTCTCCCCAAGAGCCCACAAAGATCATAGTTCCACCCTTGAGCTTGGATGCCAGCGTGGGACAGAGCATCGTGTTGCCCTGTGAGGTGTCTAGTGATTCGTCCCTGAGCCCCATCTTCAAGTGGTTTTTCAACGGCAAAGCTATCGACTTCAACAGACAGGAGCACTTTGAGATGATTGGAGGAGTATGTATACATATGATGGTTAGCTTTTTTGCTTTGCGCTTGATGAAAATACACCACGTCTGTATCTGTCACAAACATGGTGGATCCAGTAAAATCCAAATCAATTTCAAACATACAGTGGAAGGAATAATTATTTGATAGTTTTCTGACTTTTGAAGATAGGAACAGTCTCTCATTTTAATGAAGAGAGGCAGAGTATCAGACATACATCCAGAGAAAGCACAGTCCATAAAAGCTATAAACTGATTTGCATTCATTGAATGAAAAAAGCTAGTCATTATTCTGTTTTCCACAGAGTGGCTGAGTGCCCACATGACACAGTCAATCCCATATATTTCTGATCCCAAGTTGTTATGTAGATAAAGCACACCTGTACACAGAGTCAGTTTCATCATCATCATCATCACGGGCAAGACCAAAGAGCAGTGCGAGGACGTCAGGGACAAGATTATAGACCTGCACCTCACTGGCTTCATTATTCAGCCTCAGAGGTTTCCACATGAAAAAAAACCCCAAAAAAACCCCAAATGGAACAAATGGAAATATAAAAATGGCAACATGTGGTTTTAGGAGGACCTACATGTGTCAAAATATCCCCATCACCGCCCACACAGGCCCCACATCTTGACACACGTTATTGCAGTGAGTCAGGAAACGCTATTGTCCTGTTTTCCAGCACAGACATGCATCAACTCATCATAACAGCAGCAGCTTAGCTGTTGCTCCCTTGGCTACTTCCGTATAGGTTACAGCCATCACATGACAGAGTACTGCACGATGCAGTGTGTTGCCATTTAACGTTTTAAAAAAATATATTATTTACCCATAAAAATGTCAGCTAATGGATATATTTCATGATCATACTGCTCAATTATATCAGGTACATGCCTGCAACTCTGTAAATTGTTGTTCCGCAACAATTAGACAAACATGATTAAATATGTAAATATGTAGATAATCTTCCATTCAAATTTTAAGCCAGCAAATTGAAGTTGGTTCAGAAGAAATGGTAGCACACATACGTTTGCTTCTAAAACTCACTAATTATATTGGGTTAATAAAATAATATGTAGCGATTAGTGAGCTCAGGCAATCTGTATGATGAACTCAGTTAACCTCTTCATACCTATAGCGTTATAGTCAATGAATAAATTCACATATAGTATTTTATGTATACAGTGTTTGTGCTAAACTAGGCTAAATGCCTCCCAGCCTGTCTCTGAGACAAGTGAGAGGTATCACTCTTTTCTCTGGATTCTATGCTAATTAAGCGCATTTCTCACCCTGTCAAATTATTCCTTAAGGTTGTATACACTCAACTGGTCCTGTGAGAACATGAAGGCACCAGGGGAACTGGTATTTGTAGGCTAGCTCCATTTTAAACCCACGTGGAAGCTGTGTACATTCAATTCAGACGCCAACAGATATTACTGTGAGTCGTGATGAGGGAGCCTATAAGGATGAGACTCTAGCCCAGAGGAGATCTTAGTGCAAATCAATCAATTTGAGCCTTCACAAAGAAGCCAAAATCTTTGTGAATGCAAGATTTATGCTTTGTCAGGTTGATCATAGCAGGGCCAAAAACACTAACATTTCACAGTGAGCGTAATGACAACAGATGTTTGACTTTCCTTTAAAAATATTCAAACAAACAAAGAGTCTCTGTATTTCTCTGGAAAAAAACAAAACAGAAAACGAGTGTGTGTGTGTGTGTGTGTGTGTGTGTGTGTGTGTGTG